CTGCTGTGTGTTTTCAATGTTTGGAAGGCTCGTTCATTGCAATTCCAGCTCACGTCATCTAGCAAGAAGAGGAAGCTGGCGGACACCTTGTTCGTCGAGGAGGACGCGGACGAGGATACTGTGGCTATCTGGACAAGCTCTACACGTTGCTGGTGGCCTACGCCCTGGCTGGCACGGGCCGAGTGTCAGGTGCTCCGGAGGCGGCTAGGGAAGCCGTGCTGGGGGCCGACAGCACGAGCTTCGTCCAGGTCCCGCTCGATGTCCTCTTGGCCTACTACCACCGGGCAAAACGGGTGCTCGCACCACAAGCGGCTGGGATGGCTGCAGGCTCAGGACCTAGCAGAACGGACTGAGTGGGTGACCAAGTTCCGCAAAACACCAAGACGTTGGGTAAGGTGGTCATGGAGGTGTTTGAGGCCCGGGACCCGCACTGGGTGGTGCGTGCCGGCAAGGGGAGCGCCGCGCCGGCCACTCCAGCCGTGGGCAAAGTGGCGACCAACACCCCGAGTACGTCCCTCTTCCAGCTGGGTAAGCCAATCGGCGGTCGGGCGGTGGCTAAAGTGCTGAAGGATGGAGTTGCCCTGTGCCAAGCATTCCAGCATGGCAATTGCAAGGCGACGAAGTGTCAGCAGGGGGCCCACCGCTGCGGCCTGGTGACCAGGGGTGAGCGCGTCTGTGGGGGTAGCAACCACGGAGCGTCGTCGCGCTGGGAAGAAGGGGAAAGGCTCCTGATGGGGCCCGGAGGATGATGTGGCGGCTGCATCCTCTGGGCTGATCTCATGTGTGGTCCGAACCTCCCGTTGCCTTCCTGTGGTGCGGATGGCGCACTGGACTGGCTCCTCGACCCTGCCCATGACCTGTCTAACCCCCTGAGGCAAAAGTCATTGGCAGACCAGCTCGAGGAGACCGACTTCATTGCGGCCGCGATGGACTGCTCCACCAAGTCACGGGCAAGGGAGATTCTGCGGAAGTTCAACGATGGGCGACCAGCACCCTCCGGTCAGCAGACAGGGCTGTCAGTCAAGGACCAGGCTCGGGTGGACACGGACAACGCGGCATGCGGCTGGATGCTCACACAGCTCCAGAAGCACGCCGAAGGAGGGGGGGCCTCCGTGCGGGAGAACCCATGAAGGAGCTTGCACTGGTACCTCCCCCAGGAGCAGGCGATGATGGAGCCCGGACTGTGGAAAGACACGCAGTATTCCGCATGCGTGTTTGCGGGGGCCCGGAGCAAACTCCAGTGCCTCAGACACAACGTCCAGGAGATCGAGGAGTGGCCGCCTTTGATGTGCCATCATACTCACCACCCCCGAGAGTGGGAACCACAGGAGAGTTCCGATGGCAGGTCATACCCGTCTAAGGCCAAGGCGGAGTACACGGCAGCGCTGGCATTCGGCATCGCGGTGGCGGCTTCGTGGTGGGCGGCCCGGGTTGGCAAGGCACGCCTGAAGGTCCCGCGGATGCCAGCGATCGAGACGGTAGGGCGCCAGGAGCACTGGTTGGAATTCGATGGACGGGCCCTACGCGAATGGGCCATGGCACCGATGGCGGTGAGCCTCGGGCTCAAGCCACCCCCATTGGCCTCGGGTTCCACGGTGACGCGGCGAGTGGTGATCCTCGAAGTGCTATACGAAGATGGTACCCTACCCGAGGACGTGGTTTACGTTGGACGAGGGCATCACAGCCATCGAGTATCTACGTCCGACTGGAAATGCCCGTGGGTGCCGGGGCACGATTGCTCGTGGGACGAGTGGATCCCACGCTTTGTGCAGTATGTCCACCAGTCAGGCCTGGGTGAACGGTTGCCGGAGTTGATGGGCAAGAGGCTGGCCTGTGATTGCAGCTTCGAGGAGGTGTGCGAGGCTGACATTTTGGCAGGCTTGGTTTTTGAGGAGTGTGTCCAGCAGTCGGCTGCGCAGCCAGCACGACGGAAGAACCGCCGAGTGCCGAGACGAGGAGTTCTGCTAGCATGGGGCGGTTTGCCGGGAGTGGATGCCAGAGCGGTTCCGTGGAGGCGTTGGACGCAAGAGGCAGTGGTGAACTGCTTCTTGAGCCTCTTTCCTGAACCCTGGTTCAAGGGCTTCCGCTTCCCCATGATTGAGGACCTCATCAACCAATCTCCATTCACCGACTATGCGGAGTGGCGGCACGGGCAGCAGCTGGACTGGGATGGTCCCCTGGGCCCTACCACGGCCCCGGCGGGGGTCCGCATCCGGTCGCGCACAGCTGAGGGGCAGCAAGCGGGCGCGTTGAGCCACAAGGCAGCCTTGCCCCCGCTGATCTCCGGTGTGCCCAATCCGGACGACCACTTCGCTACGGCCTTGGCAATGAAGATGACACCAACTCCACTGGAGCAGGAAGCAGTGATGGATGAGGATTTGCAGTTCGTGGCTTCAGTCATGGCGGCACCTGCGCCAGCTGCGACGTGGCGCCATTGGGGCAGTCAAGGAGCTGAAGCAGAGATGGAAGCGAGTGGATGATCAGTTGAGGCAATTCCAGGCACCAGCCCTCCAAGCAGTGACAGCACAAAGGGACATTGGATTGCTGGGCCTGTTGGTGATACTGCTGGCGTGGCCCGACGTATCATACCCCCATGGCCTGGTGGTGGGCCTGCCAGCAGTCGGCTTTGCCCCCCACTACGGCGTTTTCCCCCAGCAAGACGCGCGGAGGATTACCTTTCAGGAGTTTTGGAGGGGGCGGGCGAGAACAATCGTCTCGTGCTAGCCAGTTTGCGTCCGGGCAAGGATGACACTTTCTTGCTGGAGCAGTCGCACAAGGACGCTGATCGTGGGTTTTGCACGGCTGTCCGAGCTGCAGCGGGAGCTCAGAGGGCAGGAGTTCCGACTCATACCCAGGTGTGTCATCACACAGTCGTCAGGCAAACAGCGAGTGATCGACAACGCAGATACAGGGGGGCAATCCCTCCGGTCATCGGACGCCAACAAATTACGCCAACAAATTAGTCCTCTGTTCACCGTTGCTGCCAGCTCAGCACATTGCAGCGGTGATGCAACGCATGGATGAGAGCCAACTTCGCTCAGCCCGCAATATTGACTCGTGGGAATCCGGAGAGGAGGATTGGCCAGATGCCTATCGCCACTCTCCTATGAGCAGTGAGGAGGCAAGGGGCTGTATCGTTTGTTTTTGGCATCAAGGCTGGGAGGCGCCTGCATTTCAGCGGTACGCAGGTTTGCTCTTTGGCCTGCCGTTGGCAGTGACCAGTTTCAACCGATACTCTAGGCTGGCGGAAGCGCTGGCCAGACGACTGCTGGTCCTTCTGGTTTCGTTCTACTTTGATGACGCCCACGTGGGCGCTGCGCCGTTCTCCGAGGACAAGAAGCAGCCTATGGCAGCCCAAGGCCTTTTTCTGGGGCTTGACCATGACCTATCTCAGGCACTGCACGACGGCGTGGTGTCCTTCTGGGCTCGGGAGCGGCTGCACGAGAAGATGGCCGGGATGATCCAGAAGGTCAGGACCGAGGAGAGACTAGCGCCTGACGGCTTGGCTAACTTCTTGGAGATGGGAGTCTATGGCCGCGTGGGATGCGGAGGATTGGGCTCCATCAAGATGCGGCAGGCTGAAAGATCATCTGAGCTGACTGAGCCTATCAAGGCGAGCCTTGAGTTGTTAGAAGCAGTCTTTGCTACCCAACCACGGCGAGTGCTTCCGGTTTTGCCAGTGCCGTGTGAGAGGTTTGTGATCGCTTCGGATGCGGCTCTTGAGAGCCCACGCCAGGGGACGGGAGGTTTCCTGATGGTTTGGGCCGACGGCTTCGCCGAGCGACGGGAAGCTTTTGTAGCCGACATCCCACTTGAGCTTTACCAGTTGTGGACTCCGGGGGACCGGAAGATTGCTCAAATGGAGCTGTCCATGGTGTTGTACGCCCTCCTCTGCCGACCGGATACATTCCGTAATCGGCGGGGAGTGTGGTACATCGATAACACCGCAGCCCTGATGTGTTTAATCCGTGGTAGATCCAGAGAACCCGATCTGGAGCGAATGTCCCACGTGATACATACAATTTTGTATGGGCTGAAAGTTTGGATGTATTGGGAGTGGATCCCTTCCAAATCCAACTGGTCAGATGCGATTTCTCGTTTAGGATGGCAGGACCCGTGGGCCCGCCAGAATGATTTCTCAATGTCTACTGCTTTCTGTTTCCCCATCATGTGGAAGCTGCCCTTTCGTGCCGTGCTCGCGGTGACGAGCTTTCTGTAGTGCTTTGGGAGTTGATGAAGTGCATTGGGGAACTTTTAAGGATGTTAGAGGCATCCCAACCGGAGTTGACCGGTGGCCCCCTCTAAGCACAGTCCATGCAGGAGATGCATGGAAATCCAAAGCATTATCCCTCAGGCGATGAGGGTTGTTACAGGCACGGGCAGTGCAGACTATGAATGATGAGAAGGGAAAAAGAATTGGGGTGCGTTGCAGCCTAGCAGTAGGAACGATACGTGACACATTGATGTATGCCATGTTTAGAGCTTGGCAGGCATTGGGTGAACATGTATCATCAATTGTTATGGGTCTGCCATTTTGGATCAAGACTGAGCCAAATTGGCAGACACCTTTTTGGTTTCCCCACCCAACCCACCCTAGTTGTCTGGCCTGGCGTCCAGTAGCCGACAACTTTGAAGGTCCCGATGGGACTGGGGTTTGCGCAAGGGCGCACTGTGCTGTTTCGAGGGGAGGGGAACTTTTAAGGATGTTAGAGGCATCCCAACCGGAGTTGACCGGTGGCCCCCTCTAAGCACAGTCCATGCAGGAGATGCATGGAAATCCAAAGCATTATCCCTCAGGCGATGAGGGTTGTTACAGGCACGGGCAGTGCAGACTATGAATGATGAGAAGGGAAAAAGAATTGGGGTGCGTTGCAGCCTAGCAGTAGGAACGATACGTGACACATTGATGTTTTTGAACATGCGCGAGAGTCGCAGGCTAGGCGCCCCATCCCTCCCACATTGCCTTTCACTCGCCTAATGTGGCGAGATTCCATTGCCAGGCTCAGGATGTTTTGAGCGACGTGGAAAGCACCGCAGCGGGCAGCGCCTTGGACCTGAAAGAATTCCAGTGAACTTGGATTGGATCTCTTGGGGAGTCGCGGGCAGCTTTCAAGAGCTCCAAGTGTCTAGGGTGCTTTCCCACCTTGCGCGCGAGAGAGCCAATCAAAACGGCCAAAGGACCGGCGTTGTGAAGGGATGATTGGCCTGTCTTGGTTTGAGGTGACTGGGAGCCACTTAGTCCGTTGGCCAGCCCTTGCTCGATCCCGTGCTCCAGTGAGTCATTCGAAGACTCTTGGAAAAGCCAGGCCAGCGTGGAGCCCCGGTTTTTCTTCATGAGGGATGAGTCGAGCAAACATTTTGGCAAGAGTGCCAGGGCGAATCATCATTATCATCATCATCCTCGTCTTCATCATCTTCATCACCTTCACCACCATCATCACCAGCATCATCACCATCGCCATTATCATCACCAAGTCATTGTCGCCACGTTCATCGCCACCATCGTCGCCTTCATCACCACCATCATCACTTTCATCAGCACCATCATCGCCATCATCACCATCGCCCCAATTAACATGGAGCCGGCGAAGCGGCGTCGGAAGTTTCTAGAAAATGAGATTATATAGAGCAAGGCTCCGTTGTGTCCGCGCTCGGTGTCACAAGTGCTGTTTGGCGGGCCGCCTGTGACGGTAAGCCCGCAGAAACAAAAGACTGTTAAGCGCGACAAGCTCTTTCTTTTTGGCTTGCACGGTTGGCGGGACACGCTGGAGAACGAGGGCTCTCTACATGAGCGGCTAGCGCCGCACCTTCTCCGCGCTTGAGATCGCACAGTCGCAAGGCGCGGAGGCGCTGATGCGGAGTCTGCGTCGAAGAAGACGTGCGTCAAAGTGTCTTGCTTTTTTCTCCTCCCGTTGACTCTCTTCGGCTTGCTGCCCCGGCATTCAGAGAAGAACGCCTCTCCCATGAAGACTACGGAGGCAGCTGCGGATGCCGCGTCTAACAAGCAAACATGGCTTTCTTAGCGCGCGGCCCCGACCTGCCGCCGCGGCATTCTCCACCCCTGCAAATGCCACCCGTCAAGGCGCTGCAGGCTTAAGCTGTTTGCTCCGCGCGAGTGCCGCCCATGATGGCAAGCTGCCCGCGCACGCAGCTCGTATTCGCTTCACTAACCCAGGGATGGCAACTTGGATGGGCGGCCTGCTTTCTATGTAGTTGGCGAGCTTAAGCGACTTGCTGGGCCACTTGCAAGTTGCCTAACTTGAGTCAGAAGTCTGCTAAGTCTGACTTAGCGGACATACAACCTGGCTAAGTCCACTTGGCGAGGTAGAGGACTTAGCTGCTTAGCTAAGTCCTCTAACTCGCCAAGTGGACTTAGCCTGCTTGTAAGTCCGCTAAGCCAGACTTAGCGGCTGGCCGTGCCAACGAAGGCACTGGGCTGCGCAGCTCAGAGCCTGTGATGCCAAGCGACGGCGCTCAAAGAGCTTGTCTTGACTCTTTTCCTCCTAGCCGTGCGAGCAAGTGCTCCGCATAACCATTTTACTTTCGCACAACACCCTCGCACGCGCTTGACAGTCCACGCTACTGCATCTTCCATCTGCTTCGCCTGCGACAGGGGGCGCGTCGAACGAAGGGACAACAGCCCCAGCGCCAAAGCAAACACAGCCGCCTTTGCGGGCAAAGCGAGTTCCAGCGCTGGGCTTGCGAAAGTGCTGCGCCTGCCACGCAACTGAAACCTGGCAATGCCGTGCCAGCGGGCCGTGCGCCGAGGACACTCCTTTTCGCGATTGCTATTCTCATGCTGCACGCCCACGCATGTTTGCTTGTGCGCGCGCAGTCTTTCTTCATCTTATCTGTGCGCACGCTATCTTTTGGCATAGGCGGTTTGACCTTCTCTAGGCTATCTGCAAGAGCTTTTCGCACACGCTATCTGATCTTCTGAAGCAATCGATTGCGCAAGCTAGCGGGGAATTTGTTGCCGTAACGGACAATCGCCAGCAACCCTCGTGCTGAAGGCATCATGCCCAAGGGTGAGCGGGGTAGAATTCATGTTGCCCGTCATTGCTTGCAGGTTGGGAGGCGGGGAGAGCTCGTGAATCTTGAGCGCTAGAAAGGCTTGACAAGATGAAGCCACGTGAAGGCCGCTATACTCTTCCCATGACCAAGAGAGGCTAAAAGACTCTAATTTTCACCTTCGCAAAAGAGACTCTAAAGTACGTCGGGCTGTTTTGAATTTTCTCATGATTGCTGGTTTCGTGATATTTGCGACCGCGGGCGGGCCCCATTTTTTGCATCGCGATGTCCCAGAGAAAAGCAGTTCAGGGCAGCCTTCCCCCCTTGGCACGCGCCGGCTTCAACGTGTGATGACATGGCTCAAGACGCAGTGGGTAAAGGGTCCGTTGCAACTCAAAACACATCCAGGTTTGTTGGCTGATTTGCTGCGCAAACAGTCAATGTGAGCTCACCGTTAGCATGTGCGATCTGCCAAGAGGGATTCCGAGGGGGTCTTCTTGGGCAAGCCCAGCGCAACAAAACAAAATTCGAACACTTAGGGTTTGCCCTTCTCGTTTTGGGCCCTGTGAGTTCGCCCGAGCAAGCACGGTCAGTTATGTGTTCCCAAATAGGGGAAGTCAGTCCTTGTCAGAGGGCCATTGCAGGAAAACACTTTCTCAACAAATCGACAGAGCCCCTAATATATGACGCATCTTTGTCTGGCACGCATTCTGCTAGGGAACAGTATTGACAACCCTGGACAGACATTATTTGACAAGTGTTTGGCCTTGGAAATTGCATGACGTCATCTTGCGTCGGCGCAGCCGATTGCGGCTTAAGCAAAAGCGATACATTAGCGCCTCGGGCTCTAAACTATGTAGTTTAGTGTCTTATAGCCTCTCTTAAGGCGGTCGGGGCCCGCAAAAAGAAACAGGCCGACCATTTTTGCCATTGTGACCTCCAAGATTGCCTCGGGCCAAGTTGCGTATCTCCAGGTGGTGGTCAAGAGCACTTTCCTGGACGTGGAGGACATGCTTTTCCTGGCTCTCTCAGGCCTTGAGCTTGTGTCAGCCTCACAGCCCCGTGGATTCGCGAACTCAAGAAGAGAGTCTGGAAGAGACAGTTGGACGGCCGCCTTGCACGCTCCAGGGGGTTGATTATGTCGCTCACGCGCCTCAAGAAGTGCCAGTCAGGTTGCGAGTTAGACTAGAGAGAGAGAGAGAGAGAGAGAGAGAGAGAGAGAGAGAGAGAGAGAGAGACAGAGAGAGAGAGAGAGAGAGAGAGAGAGAGCGAAGAAACACAGAAAAAGCCGCGACTCTGAGCGGAGCCTTGCAAGGACGTGCCCAGCCTCGCAGAGCGGTTCTCGCGGCTGCGCCGCGCCAAGACGCGGCCGTTAGAGCCATCGCAGTTCTACGAGCCCGGCAAGTTCAGCCGGAGGGCCCAGCGCCATGAAGCTGGGGAAACGCGATGCTGACTTGGAGCCAGTCTTGTGTCTAGGGTGCTCTTGGCCTCCACTCCGCATGGCTAGATCAACTTGTTGGCTGTTCTGGCAAGGGAGGTTTGGCTGGCCGGCTTTTAGCTAGTTGTGGATGCGCTTGAGAGGGTGGTGCTTGTCATCAGGCAGGTGTGGAGACAGTGCTGAGCGCGTTTATCTTTTGGAAGGCGGGGAGTGCGATTAAGCCGGTGCGCTTATCGTCTGGGAGGCGTGCGGGTTGTCTTGCCTAACACAATATGTGTCTAAACGTGAAAACTCTAGTTCTTTTCGTCTGACAGAGGCAAACGTGGCGCGAAACAGAGCAGACTGCGTAGTGTTCGCAAACGCTTGCGCCTGTGTGTTCCAATTTCGCTGTATCCCCGTGTTCTAGGTGTTGACTTTGAAAACACAGTTGTTGCAACAACTGTTTTTGCAAGACCTCGGCGTCTCGGCCGCGAGCTTCGCCGTCGGCAGCGCCAAGAGAATCCGCGCCCCGGGCGCCTTCCCCTAATTGTGAATGGCTGCTTTCTTTACAGAGCCGGGCGGCCCCAACGCTGTAAAAATCTTCAAGTTCTCTGCCGCCTGGAGCGTTGCCTCGTAGCTCTCATCATCTTCAGCGTCTCGCGCCTCCATGGTGCGCTTGTCCACGAGCGCCTTTAGACGCAGTTGGCACGTGTCCAAGGCCACGCGCCGCGCAGCTTGCTCTTTCCCTCCAGGCCTACAGTACCACGGGCGGGGGACCGTCCACTTGCGCTCGATAGACTTGTTTGACGCACGAGGCAGCCATCAAATTGGAGACGAAGATCGCAGCCGTGGAGGGTAGCCGCTGTTGCGGCTTGGACTTGCAGCAGGCGCCTATCCGCGAAGAGCCGTCGACGTGGGACGACGAGGCTGGGCGAGTTTGGGGAGCCCGACTTCATCCGGGCGTACTTCCAGGAAAGCATGGAAGTCACGAAGTGCCACGAAGACTGGCGGACGGCAGACACAACCTGCTCCGCTACGTGGCCACCTACGCCCCAAAGTTCAGCGTCTCCTTTGCGACGGACTGGTCGACCACGCGTCGGACTGCAGCGTTGCCCAGAGGGTGGTCTTCGACTAGCACCCCCTCGAACCTGAGATGTGGCTGACGTTGGCCGGACAGCTCTTCCCGCAGATTTCGTACGGCGGCACACTCAAGCCAATTGTCGCGCCCTACCCCAGCATGGCTGAGAAGCCAAGCTACGTGGAGTGCTACGAAGACAGCGAGCGGAGCGGCGAGGCGATGAGCTTGATGGGTTTTGCAAAACCTTGTTTTCCAAACAATTGTTGCAACAACAACTTTGGCGCGCCAGCCAGCAAAACAGTTATTGCCACAAATGTGTGCCCAACACTGGGTGCAAAAAGCATTTGCGACATAGTTTGTGTAGAAGGTGCCCCGGAAACATTCTGGACCGGAAAAACATAGGTAACATAACATGCCATACCAGTTTACTTGTTCAGAACCATGTTGGCGCATCCGTTTGTGACGGCTAGTCTGCTGCGTGCTTGACTTAAATGGCTTCGAGTGACGGGTCAGCTTGGCTGGAAGAAGTGGACTCCTGAGGCGCTGGTAAATGTGGGTTGGCGCAGAGAAACAAAGGCGCCGCCGAGGCCAGCTGGGGAAGTCAGCCCACGCGGGGGTCAGTAGAAGGCTGCGGGCTTCCTTGCAAAATGCTGATAAGCTGTTGGTCAAGTGCTTCTCCCGCCGCTTTGAGCGGGTTGTGCCAGCCTCCCCTTTTGTAGAACGTATGTTCGCCAGATTCTCGAAGTGGATGGCCAAATCCAGAGGGCCAAGCCATAATAGCTGCCCAGCTTAGGTTTGCCTGCCACGTCCGACTTTCGAGGGACCACGCGAAGGAAGCTGGTGGATCCGCTCTTCCACGAAGAAGAAACCAGCAGGGCGCTGGCCAAGACAATAAAAAAAAGCTGCGCTGACGACGTCTCCAATGTGGTGGAAGGCTATTGGCCGAAGCCTTGCCTTCGCTAAGTCCTGCACGAAAGGTAAACAAGATCGGCTAAGAATTGCAAAAAACAAGCCGCAAAAAACAGAGAGCCACAGCTCAAACCGCAAAGTGTTTGAGTTGAGCAATCCAGTCAATCAATAACACACGTATGCAAAGGTGCCAAAACTGTCAGCAAAGCTTCGTAGGGGAGGGGGAAAGAAAGAAAGGAATCGCTCCGCTCAGACAGGAAGGGAAAAGCAAGAAACAGGGAAGGCGCTGACGCTAAAGGCGCTAGTATAGTCCCTGGCTAGGAGTTATGAGTCATGGTTAGTCCAGAGACCAGTTGCATCAGCTACTAACTGGGACAACTGGTTTAGTGGTGACGACCTGCGTGAAATTCAAAGCAGCTAAAACAGTTGCTTTTAGCAGTGAGAGCAGTTAAGGCAGTTAAAACAGTTAGCATTTTGAAGGTTCTTTTCAGCTTTTGCACGTTAGAAGTTATAGAACGCGTATAATTGTATAAAAGCTGGTAAAAATGCAACTAGCAATTTCGAAGCATTTCTGGAGTATTTATATATACAAATATATATATATATATATACACACATATGTGTATATATATATATATACGCGCGGGCGGCAGATGCCGCTCGAGCGAAGCTGCGGCAGCGCCGCCTTCGTTTGGTTATATTCTTTGCTTTCGTACATCCTTGTGAGCGCTGCCAACGCCGCACGGAGGCGGCCAGGCCGCCTATATGTGCCATGTTTGGAAGAAAATGCAAGAGCGCGCGCCTGGCTTGCAGCTGCCGGCAGGATAGCAAGGTCTTTTTTTGGGGCGCCGAATCATGCGGGCCTTGGATCGCGCCGGCAGACGGCGCCTGCAGGACTACACGTCCTTGCTGCTCTACCTTGCCAGCTACTGCTGCCCACCTACTGCCTTTGAAATTTGTATCCTGCCACCCCGCCAGTTTTGGCCAACCTACTGCCTTTGAAACCAGCTACTGCCACCCACCTACTGCCTTTGAAATTTGTATCCTGCCACCCCACCACTTTAGACCAGGGAGATTTCTAGCTACTGCTGCTCACCTACTGCAATTGACCAGTTTAGACCAGGGAGATTTCTCACCTGCTGCCTTTGAACTTTGTTTGCTGCCACCCCACCACTTTAGACCAGGGAGATCTCTCACCAGCTACTGCTGCTCGCCTACTGCCTTGGAAATTTGTTTGCTGCCGCCCCACCAGTTTAGGCCAGGGATATTGTTCACCAGCTACGTCAGCTGCCTTTGGAGCCTGCCCGGATTTTCGAAAAAAAGAAAAACCAGCCCAGGCGGGGCCGCCCGAACACCCACGACACACCACGACACTTTAGGAAATTGGCCCAGCTGGTAGCTGGAGAGATGTGTCTGAGAGGAAAAGTAAAGGCGACACACCCACGACGCACCACGAAATCCATGAGACCCAGAAAGCCCAGAAACGACACATTTAGTTCTTTTCCGTGCGTTGCGGCGTGTCGTGGGCTTTCTGGGCCCCATGGCTATTTGGAGATCCTGAGGGCACATCTTTTCGCTCACCTCGCCGGGCAGATTTCCCAATAGTGGCGCAACGTGGGCTTTCTCCTGGCTTCACTTTTTGGCTATTACGAAATTCTTCTGAAGCCAGCTGATGAGAGAGCTTATTCGACCCTCCGCCCGCGCTTTGCATCTGCCTGCACCGTCACCACTGACCGTCACCATCGGAAGCGTCTTGGCCGCTGTTACTGGCGGCTCTTGCTGCCTATATGGCGGCTCTCACCGTCATGTACTGCGCACGCGCAGGGCCCGCCCCCGTCTGCAGTGCGCCGCACTCATTAAGGCGCGGCGTGATGCGGCGGCCTCTGCCGACACGGCTTTGCAGCATATGGCCCTTTTTTTAGACGGGCGCCATCACCGCTTCCACATACCGGCGCAGGCTCGGCGCCTGCGGTTCTTCTTGTGGCGCTGAGTCCATGGAGTCGGAGCACCGCGACTAAAGCAATCGCTGCGCGAGCGCCTGGGAAGCTTTGCCCATGCCGCAAAAGGCTGACGAGGATGCTCATGGTGCACGTGGGATCGGGCCCGGGGCCAAGCTGCGCGTGGCGAAGATGGCGGCTGTGCCGCAGTTCACGGCTGCCAAGCGCCAAGCGCAGCTCGAGCCTTTCGTGTGGAGACATGCTTCGCGGCTGACGCAGAGCTCCTCTTTCTCGTGACAGAGCTGCGGCTGGACGCTTGGGCTGGCATCGCATCCTTGCTTGTTGCTTGCTTGCTTGCTTGCTTGCTTGCTTGCTTGCTTGCTTGCTTGCTTGCTTGCTTGCTTGCTTGCTTGCTTGCTTGCTTGCTTGCTTGCTTGCTTGCTTGCTTCTCTCTCACTGCGTGCGGCCAGTCGCCGCGCGTGTTTTGGCTTGCTCGCTGCGGCAGGGCGCCGCGTATATATGTTTTGCTTGCGTTTGCGGCGATGCCGCGCGACTCAGGAGTCGACAGTGTGCGACGACATGCGACGACGTTGCTTCGCGCTGGACGCTGGCTTCCTCGCAGCTGCGGGTGGCATGGCCAGCGCAGCTGCGCTATGCGAGGCGCCCGAAGTGGTGGCTGTGGGAATCAAGTGACCGGCTGCTATGCCTCCGCTGAGAAAAATCGCACAAACTTCACTAGCATCTTATAATGCGACAAAGATAAATTTGAATATATATATATATCTATCTATCTATGTGTGTATTTATGAATGATGTATTTGTATAATATATAGAAACATTGTGATATTTCATTGGTTTTTTAGCAAGTCGCTCCTTTTTTCGCATGCTCACGGCTTTCCCGCGCAGTTTGGTCTGACAAACTTACAACCAGTTAATCCAGTTAGCTAAAACAGTTAAAACAGTTAGTTTTTCGCGTGATTCACCTTCTAACTGTTTTAACTGCTTTAACTGCCCAGATAACTGGTATAACTGCGTGAACTCGTCCAACTGCTAGCCAGGGAAAAAGGTACCGAACCACCACCGCTGCATTGAGGAACAGCCCCCTCATCCTGACGGCCCCCCCAAAGGCACAACCGCAGAGAGGGCTGCCCCTCTCTGTGAGAAAAAAAGCAGTAAGACTGTAAGACTCCAAAACCTCGGAATGAGAAGGAGGGGCCGAGCAAGAAGAAAACTAAAGCGGATCCCGACACGAACTACAGTCGTCCTTCACCTCCTTTGGCGCGAAGCAGGACCCTCCGGAGTATTCTGCTTGTGTCGGAGAACGTCGTGAGCTTTCCGGGCCACCCTTTCCCCCTTGCCCTTTGGGTCAAGTCCCAACCCTTGCAGCGCTGCCTTCGCTGCGCCGGACGGTAAGGTCCTTCCCGAAAAAACGGGCGCCAAGCGGACTCCGGGAACACAAGCGCAACGGCGTCGGGCGCGTTTCCGTGTTGGCACGCTTTGAGAGCCTTGGGCAGGGCGGCGGGCAACTGGAGGTTTGCAGCCGCATCCTCCTGCATGCCGCCGGTGATGCCTTTCCAGAGAATTTGCCCCGCTTGCTCCCTGCAGACAAGACTGCGCCTGGCAGAGTCGGCCCCTTGACGGTGTTGGTTTGCAAGGAGACCTTGCAGACGCTGTCGAGTAGGGCATTGACGGCATCGACGCAGTTGCGGAGCCGGTTGACTTGACCACGCGACACGCCGCCGCCGCGATCAGAGTGACGATCAGAGAGACGATAGCGGCTGCGCGTAGGAGGCGTGGTGTCCCGAGGGGGCGCAGAGCGAACAAAAGCAAACGAACCTAGAGCCAAAAAATCACTGGCGCACGCGATGCGACGAGCAGTGGCTAGCCAAGGCGCGTCGTTAGGGTCACAACACGGGCAAAGAACGGGAACGTTTGGCTTTGTGACCCGGTGCTGGGCCTGTGTGTGCATTTTGGCGGAATCGTTGCCTGGCGCCCGTGAACTGCCATGTGTCTTGTGGGGCCAGTGTCCAGGTCAAAAGTTTGGGGGCATTGTGGGCTAAGTACCCTCACTATGTAGGCACATGGTGTGACCTTCCTGGTAGAACCGCAGACCGCAAGACGGCGTGGGCCCTCTCCAACCCCACGACGTTGTCGACCCCCGTACCTATCGGTTTCTCTAGCCAGTTCAACAGGTACCTCTGCAACTGGTTGGAGGTAAAGCGCTGGCGGTCTACCCTGGTTTTGTCGTACTGCTAGCAAGCAAGACATGCGAGACAGTTCCAGTCCATAGTCGTAGGTAACCAAGCATCCCAAGTACACCTGAGTAAGAGTTGTCCACACAGATCCAGCACATTCAAAAGTCTCCCAAGAAAGAAACCCTATGCTGGAAGCTGGCTATTGATTGGCAAGTTCGTTAGCCCCCCCTTAGACACTTTCTTAACCGGCTGGAAATGCGCTCCCTCTCTTCTGCTCGACCGGGCAGCGAAGCATGGCCAACCGGTTGCATGGGTGAACCAAGCAGCCGCGCGAGTGTCCCGGTTTCACTGCGTCCCATCCTCCAGCTCCGCGAGCTGCAGCCACCCAGTCATTGCGCGCAAGCTGTCAACAATTGCGCCCCTAATGAAGCTCCGTCATTCTATGGCGCCCCGCTGTTGCAGGCAAAATAGCAAACAACGCTTGCTTAGGCAGACGACAAATGTCCCACCCACCGAAGGCGATGTTGATGCACAAGTTGCATGACGGTGAGAACGCCAAGAAACTTATTGTCAACACCCTCTGTTTGTTGCTGCCACCGGCTGACTCTGCTGATGTAGCGCAGACACATCGTGTGAAGCGCGCCCAACTTACGCCGCATCTTCAAGTCAACCGCCCAAGTTTCTGCGCCGCACAAAAGAATGGACAACAATCACGCGCGGCGCGCCAAGATTCTTGAGGCAAAGTTAAGCTTACCCGCCAAACCGATGCATCAAGCTTCCAAAACGCCTTACGCGCGGCATCTAGCCTGTATAGCATTCCGGCAGACTGCCAATCAATGAAGCTATCAAGATACCGAAATTTGCCTGTGAATTTGACGGCGGCCGGTTCGGTGCTGGGGTGCTCTTCAAGTGGGTTGAGCCAAGCTAGCCAACGCCTCTGTTTTTTCGCAAGAGATACCACTTGCCTGTGTGTGTTCCTGAAAACGAACGTGCGCTTGAAGTAATTTGCTTAGCCTATCCGTGAGTAGCGCTAGATCATCAGCGAGCCCAAGTTCCCAGAAGCTAAATGGCTCATGCATTCCACACTTTTCCACCATTGCCTGCCTACGCAAGACACCATCGACGCACGTAAACCATTCCAGCCGATCCGGCTGCAAACCAAGCCAGGTCTCCATAACAACACCCCTGACCCAAACAACCCAGGCGCAGCCGTGGAGCCCGCTTGGCCTTAAGCACTCCCCACAAACCCGGCCGATTGACGCTGTCATAGGCCTTTAGGCATCTCCTTGTGTCACAATCATGCGCAAGGTAAAACACAGTGTCTATTGTCTATTGTGCTTCGCCCCCCTCGCAAGCCATACTGCCACTCGGGCAAGATGTTTTTCTCCTCCGCGTATTGGCACAATCTGGCCGCTGTAACACACGCAAAGAGTTTACCTGGCATTGACAGCAAGATAATGCCTCTTACCAACTTGAAGCCGACGAAACGCCGCTACCAATTCCACAAACTGCGGGACATCCCCAAACGCATCAGCCTCTTCCAACCTTTGACAGAGCAGACGCACCATCGAAGCCAATTGTAGATGGAACTTTTAGAAGCGCGCAAGAACACTCCTGCCACGACACCGTGCGGAGGAACTGACCGTCCTCATTACGCAACTTAGGCGCGCTGGCGGCCGGTGCCCAAAACCGACCGAAGAACGCGGAAACCCGCGAAGAGATTTTGCTGACCACCATCATCTACCAGCTCTTGAATGTGCTGCGCTGTGTTCTTCCACTACATGCTAAGTATCTTGAACGGCCTGCCGACATTCCCCACACTCTCCTACATTCCGCCCTAGGTCCCCCGTGCGCCCATGCCAGATACGCCTCCTGGCGGCGATTCCAACTGTACAGCGTTATCAAGTTTCCATTGTGGGTGGCTCTGCGTGGGCCTGTTGAGGCTGTTCTGTAGCAACGGTAACCAGGGTGGAGCAGAAGCTGCTGTTTGCAGATCAGCTCGGGGGACCAGCCATGCTGAGCTTGGAAAGATTGTTCGGGACAGCTGGGATTGCGTCGAGCTCCAACAAAGAAATTTACCGCCTCAGCAACTCATGTGCGTGGCTGGTCCACACCCACACTTGCGCCGAGGTGTTGGATGGCTTGGCGGGGCCAGCTAGTCCGGGCTAGTCTTTCCTGCACGCTTGCTCCGCCATGCTGCGGACAAAAATCAGGTCCGGGTTGCCATGTGTAAGCAGCCGCACCCTAGCTGCGCTCGAGTCATGTGAGCTTCTGGCTTGTCCATGTTGTTTTGACACGTGTGCTGACTCATTCTTGGGCCGTTTCCAGGAGCCCTTCTCAAGTCTTCAACGTAGCCCCAAGCCACGGCTTAACCTAAGTCCTCTGACTGAGGCCTTGGCTTTTGTTCACCCGTCAAGCCACCAGCAAGAAGTTGGTCATTAACGTGGACGATGTGGACCATGGGCTTAGAGCCACGCCTGTTGGTGCATCCATTTTGGGCGCTTGCTTCAGCTGAGTTGCCATGGCGCGACGATTGCCGCGCTCTTGCCAAGATGCTTGTGGAAGCGGCCCGCTATGCCTTCCAGAAGCAGACTCCATTTCCCGCTCTGAAGAGCGCAGGTTTCTCCAGTGAAAGTCTGGCAGACAGACACCTTTGGTGTGCCAAAAAGGAGCAGCTGCGAGTCTGTGTGGCAGCTTCAAGGCCTGGGAGGCTGGCTTACTTGCGCTTGCCTTGTGCGTCTCATTTTGTGAAAGAGTGTTGCAACAATTGCTTTGCTCACAGGTGTTTTGTCAAGCATTTGTTGCGACCATTGTTTTGCACAGTTGCGTTTTGTCAAGCATTCGTTGCGGCAAGTGTTTTGCGCAGTTGCTTTTGTCAAACATCTGTTGCGAAAATTGTGTCGCACACCCGGGTTTTGTCAAGCACTTGTTGCGTCATTTTTGTGCGCTCATGCTTTGTCAAGCAAGTGTTGCAACAGTTGTTTTCCCAAGTGTGTGTTGACAAACAATTGTCGCGGCAAACGTTGCGTCGCAAACAATCGAGTCTTGGTTTTTGCCTCGTGGAAATGAGCCAGCCTGCAAAGCTTTATGAACACATTCAACTAAAATGATTGCCGCTCCGTGTTCTAAAACGGCTGCTTGCCTATTTGAACTGGCGGCCCTACTTCCTGCAATCAAGACCAGGGCATGCGAAGCAAGCCATAGAGTCGCCGTAGAGACTACTACTTTCTTGCAGTTTACCAGCCGGATCTTGCTGAATGCACAAATCTTTCGGGGATGTCAACACACCAAGCATGAACCGGGCTACAGAAATCACACACGCTTGTTCAGTTCAATGCATATTTGAAGTGGTTTTGTTTCCATTAAAATGAACGATTCCATCTTAATTGTGTTCATTAGCATGCTGCGACGCACCCGTATATTCTCAACTGGCGGCTTGGATGGCAAATCCGAAATTGCAGCTTTTATCCCTCCACGCTTGGCAATAGACTGAGTTGCAGGGAAGAGGGGGGCAGGGGGGGGATGGCAATGTTTTCCAGGCCATGACCGACGCATTGCAGCTAAACGAATGCTACCGTCTCAGCTAAGAAAAACCGCGACCGCAATTGCTGATTTGCTTAATAAGCCCACCACAGCCGCCATTTCCACCGCCGCCGCCGCCGCAGCCTCCGCAGCAGTAGCAGCAACAGCAGAAGCAAAAACACAAACACCAATACAACAGCAGCAACAACAATCTCCACGTGTGATCTGCGACGCTTCAATGCAGGCGCCGCGCGCAACCCCAACGCGGAGCAGAATTTGTCGGAGCAGCCCTCTCAGTTGAGGATTCAAGTCAATGGAGTTCCCTTGAACGGCGAGGCTTGAATGGGGGGCGGGGCGCAGAAATATGGCAGTCAGATGAAGCTCCAGAAAACGGCGTAGCGTCTGTTTTGAGGATATGTCACGAGATGTGAGACAAGTTTTCTTTACGCCGTGGCATCTGTTTCTGGCTGCTTGCAGGTGACAGACTGTGAGCCGGAACCAGAAGCAGAAAGCGAGCCTGCGTCGCGGGATGCTAGCTTGTGGCTGACTCAAGCTGCAGTTGACCCCACAATTTAGTACCCTGGTATCCGTGCGGGTGGGTTCTCCAAACAGCACCAGCGAACCCTCGCCGAGCGCGCCGTGATTTTTTTTTGAATAGATCCCACCAAGGCCTCAGGTCGCTTGGCAGCAGACTGCAGTTTTGTTTTGCCGGAAATAAGAAACAGAGTTGCCGGAAATAAGAAACAGAGCGGGCTGGCCCATTTTGCGATCGACTAGCTGCCCGTAAATGGCATGATGCAGATGGCTTGAAGCTTAGGAGCCCGAGAAGACGCCCGAGAAGACAACTGCAACTTGGCATGAGGGGGCCCAGGGATAAGTCGACACTGTTCGGTTGGCGACATTGCCAGTGGAGGCAACGGAGCCAAACTGTTGCTTCGACTAGATGCTGCTGATTTTCCACCAAGCAGCTTGCTGTTGAGGATCTACACTCACGCAAAGAATTGCCTTCAGTTACAAGATTGCCTCAGCAATGCTATTCTGGTAAAATATCCGGTGTTTTTTCGGTCTCGTTTTATGGGGTATTCAAGAGTTGGACAGGAAACCGTAAAATACACACAGGTGGATGACATCATACTATAATGGAAGATTATTTGCTTTGAAAAACGATTCATTTGTGCTCCTTTTGGTTGTCAGGATGTTCTGAAAAATGAAAAAGGGTAATGATTTTGATCAAATGGATAAGGTGAAGTGCCTTAACTGCTATTATTTTATGAAAAATGAAAGAGGGAGTAATGTAGCCGACTGCTATGAAATGGACTTTAGAAAATGAAGACCCCTGCCATGAGTAGACTGTTAGAAAAGATGTTCCTGAATATTTAAGATACAAGCAGGAAAGTGTTAAAATCCCTTTTACAATCTCCATTTTATGTTTTCCCCCACCCCCCAGCTGCCCAGCATCCCAGAGCCGTTACGTGCTTCTGTGATCCTGAGATTTGCAAATTTTGGCATCGCGCATGTAATTTTGGCATCGCCCGCGCGTTCAATAGGTTCAAAAATGCCTTTGAAGCAAAATGCAAGATCACAGCACTCGGGCGATTGCGCTCCTGTGATCCCACGATTGGCTGTTTTGCGTTGCGTGCCCCTAGTGGTTCCAGAATTGCGTGCTACCTGGATCCCTTGCTTGCATGGTTTGGGCCCCTTGTCCTCCACATGGGCCCCACTTGTTTCCGCTTGTCTCCCCGTGTGTTTCTCCTGCTGTCTCCCTGCTTGTCTGCCTTCTTGTGCTTGGTGGCTTGGACCCTGTCATGGCTTGTCAACACATGAAGAACCCAGTTGGTTGTTCCTTGTCCTTTGCACCCCGGTCATGTGGGGCTATCGTGTCCTTCAATTGGAAGCTTCGTTTGGCCCGAGCATGGTTTCCGGTTTTTGGCAATTTGTGGCCCAAACTGAACGAGCTGATGTGCGGATTTGCTGTGTGGGGTCGATTTACAAGCTTAACTCCCCCCCCCCAATTTGATAAACATTCCTCTGGGAAAAAACTTTTGATAGCAGGGTTTCCGTTTCGGTCCTCTAGGTGGGTCCTTTTTGCCGGGCACAAAGCCGTCAAACTTATCCTGAGACAGTCGTAAGTCTGAGTGCGATGCCGAAAGTCGAAAGTCCGAAGTCCCAGGTGATGCTGCGGAATGTGCCGAACAACTACACCCGAGACATGCTGCTAAGTCTGCTGAACTCGAAGGGTCTCCGCGGCCGCTACAACTTCCTGCGCCCGAGCTGGACGTGTCAAGGGGCATGCAGCGCGCCCTCATGTTCAATTTTTGCGTGGAGCTGAGGAACACCTTGCTAAAAGTTTGGTTGCAGCCAGGGCGATTGTCAAGAGTGTTGCAAGCATGAATGAATTACTTGCGTCGCTCTGAGCACATGCCGCTTGCAACCATCAACCAAGGTATCTTCCTTGCGATTTCAAGCGCAACGCGAACCTGGGCTGCCTCTTCTCCTGGGCCTTGTTTTGTCCTTGGCCTTTGCACCCGAGCAGTTGACTTCGATGACAGTTGACTTCCAGCAACCTTGTGCTTCAATGAGCCGGGCCTTGCAGAAAGCAACACATTTTGGCTCCCCTTCTCCCTCAGGAATCTCGGCTATGCCTTTGTGAACCTGGTTGATCGCAAGGCTGGCAAGTCACAGATGCACGGAGGTTTTATCAGCTCCGGGGTTTGTCACGAAAGCTAGCTGCGCTAGCGCAAGCTCTCTCAGCTTTAGCTTCTTTTAGGGGCTGACCTTCCCACGATGCCTGATTGGTTGGAGCACCCCCCTCCCACCCAGCCAGGGGCTCGATTCCCCCCTGTGCCGCCCCGGCACGCGCGTATTCCCCATAATCTCGTCCACATGGTGGCAGCTGGGGGATCCGTCTTTCTAGACATTTCTAGACGTTCATTTAGGATTGCTAGTCCTAATATCCTGGCAACTCCTGAGTCGTAGGCTAGCTTTCGTTCACCCGCCCCTCAAGTCTCTTCCAGACAAAAGCTGACAAAAATACATGGCATATCAGTCTTGGCCCCTGCAATCCCGGGATGTACGTCTCCTCGTCTCACACGCAAGGCGGTCTCCGAGCTTTGGCGCCGCTTCGACGGGTTCAGGGGCTGGTGTTTGCCCAGCGCCAAGGCAGGGAGCTGCGACTGCAATCATAGTTAACACCACTGTTACATCAGCACTGTTTTCATTAGTTATCTAACCTGTCCCAAACCTAATCCCCAATGATTAGCGGATTATGGATTACGCGGTTTACGGATTAGAACGTTTTGGCGTAGGACGCCCAACTACATTGTGGGGGAACTGCTTTTCAGCGTTTTAAGGGGCGTTTCATTAGAACAACACGCTCAGCAACCCGAAAATGACACCACACCATTTGAAAGGGCCTTGGCGGGGTCACCTTTCTAAAATGGAGTCGTGGATGCCTGGTACTGGTTCGAGGCTTTGTCAAGCCCACTTCAGTGCAAAACCAGTTGGGCTGACCACAGGCCATGCGATTTTTCAAATGGAGGCCAAGCCACGGGAAAGGACTTGTTCGGGGTTACTTTTGACATGGATGGCTGCTAGTGGTTTGGAGCTCTGCAAGGGCCACTGCGCTGCAAAAGCAGTTCTGCCTTTCCTTGACCTTGCCCGGCAAGTAAGGAACAAAGTAACCCCGGATTGGGGCCAGGTCACAGGAAAGGACTTGTTCGGGGTCACTTTAGACATTGGTGGCTGCTACTGGTTTGGAGCTCTGCAAGGGCCACTGCGCTGCAAAAGCAGTTCTGCCTTTCCTTGACCTTGCCCGGCAAGTATGGAACAAAGTAACCCCGGATTGGGGCCAGGTCACAGGAAAGGACAAGTAAGGAACAAAGTAACCCCGGATTGGGGCCAGGTCACAGGAAAGGACTTGTTCGGGGTTACTTTTGACATGGATGGCTGCTAGTGGCTTGGAGCTCTGCAAGGGCCACTGCGCTGCAAAAGCAGTTCTGCCTTTCCTCGACCTTGCCCGACAAGTGAGGAACGCAATAACCCGCGGATTGGGGCCAAGTCACGCGAAAGGGCTTGTTCAGGGATTTTTCAACATGAATGGCTACTGGTTTGGAGCTCTGCAAGGGCCACTGCGCTGCAAAAGCAGTTCTGCCTTTCCTTGACCTTGCCCGGCAAGTAAGGAACAAAGTAACCCCGGATTGGGGCCAGGTCACAGGAAAGGACTTGTTCGGGGTTACTTTTGACATGGATGGCTGCTAGTGGTTTGGAGCTCTGCAAGGGCCACTGCGCTGCAAAAGCAGTTCTGCCTTTCCTCGACCTTGCCCGACAAGTGAGGAAACGCAATAACCCGCGGATTGGGGCCAAGTCACGCGAAAGGGCTTGTTCAGGGATTTTTCAACATGGATGGCTACTGGTTTGGAGCTCTGCAAGCACCACTTCATTGCAAAAGCAGTTCTGCCTTTCCTTGACCTTGCCCGGCAAGTAAGGAACAAAGTAACCCCGGATTGGGGCCAGGTCACAGGAAAGGACTTGTTCGGGGTTACTTTTGACATGGATGGCTGCTAGTGGTTTGGAGCTCTGCAAGGGCCACTGCGCTGCAAAAGCAGTTCAGCCTTTCCTCGGCCTTGCCCGACAAGTAAGGAACACACGTAACCCCGGATCGGGGCCAAGTCACGGGAAAGTGCTTGTTTGGGGTTACCTTGGTCGTGGATGGCTGCGACTGGTTTGGAGCTCTGCAAAGGCCACAAAAGCAGTTCTGCCTTTCCTCGACGTTGCCCGACAAGTAAGGAACACAGTGTACCCTCCTTGCAGAGCTCCAAACCAGTAGCAGCCATCCATGTCCAAAGTAACCCCGAACAAGCCCTTTCGCGTGACTTGGCCCCAATCCGGGGTTACTTTGTTCCTTGCTTGTCGGAACGGCAGAACTGCTTTTGCAATGAAGTGGCGCTTGCAGAGCTTCGAGCCAGTAGCAGCCATCCATGTCCAAAGTAACCCGGAACAAGCCCTTTCCCGTGACTTGGCCCCAATCCGGGGTTACTTTGTTCCTTACTTGTCGGGCAAGGTCAAGGAACGGCAGAACTGCTTTTGCAATGAAAGCAGCCATCCATGTCCAAAGTAACCCCGAACAAGCCCTTTCCCGTGACTTGGCCTCAATCCAGGGTTACGTGTGTTCCTTACTTGTCGGGCAAGGCCGAGGAAAGGCAGAACTGCTTTTGCAGGGAAGTGCTTCTCGCAGAGCTCCAAACCAGTAGCAGCCATCCACGTCTAAAGTAACCCCGAACAAGCCCTTTCCCGTGACTTGGCCCCAATCCGGGGTTAGTGTGTTCCTTACTCTTCTCGCACAAACCAGTAGCAGCCATCCACGTCCAAAGTAACCCCGAACAAGCCCTTTCCCGTGACTTGGCCCCAATCCGGGGTTACTTTGTTCCTTGCACAAGTCAGGCAAGGCCGAGGAAAGGCAGAACTGCTTTTGCAGTGAAGTGGCCTTTGCAGAGCTCCAAACCACTAGCAGCCATCCATGTCAAAAGTTTCCCCGAACAAGTCCTTTCCTGTGACCTGGCCCCAATCCGGGGTTACTTTGTTCCTTACTTGTTGGGCAAGGTCAAGGAAAGGCAGAACTGCTTTTGCAATGAAATGGCGCTTGCAGAGCTCCAAACCAGTAGCAGCCAAGCGCTTTCCGGGGATATACTGTGTTCCTTACTTGTCGGGCAAGGTCGAGCACAGGCAGAACTGCTTTTGAAGCACAATGGCCCTTGCAGAGCTCCAAACCAGCATCCATGTCAAAGTAACCGAACAAGCCCTTTCCCGTGACTTGGCCCCAATCCGGGGATACTTTGTTCCTTGCTTGTCGGGCAAGGCCGAGGAAAGGCAGAACTGCTTTTGCAATGAAATCGCGCTTGCAGAGCTAGCCATGTCCAAAGTAACCCCGAACAAGCCCTTTCCCGTCACTTGGCCCCAGTCCGCGGATACTTTTGTTCCTTACTTGTCGGGCAAGGTCCAGGAAAGGCTTGCAGGGAAGTGGCCCTTGTCGAGCTCGCACGCATGTAAAAACAAGTAACCCCGAACAAGCCCTTTCCCGTGACTTGGCCCCAGTCCGGGTCACTTGTCGAGCAATGCCGAGGAAACGCAGAACTGCTTTTGCAATGAAGTGGCGCTTGCAGAGCTCCAAACAAGTAGCAGCCATCCACGTCCAAAGCAACCAAGCGCTTTGACTTGGCCCCAATCCGGGGTTACTTTGTTCCTTACTTTTACTTGTCGGGCAAGGTCGAGGAAATTTTAAAAGCAGACCTGGTTTTGCAGTGAAGTGGCCCTGGCAGAGCTCCAAACCAGTAGCAGCCACGCATGTCCAAAGTAACCCCGGGGTTACTTTGTTCCTTGCTTGTCAGCCAGGTTTTGCAGTGGAGTGGCCCTTGCAGAGCTCCAGACCAGTAGAGGCCATCCATGTCCAAAGTAACCCCGAACAAGCCCTTTCCCGTGACTTGGCCCCAATCCGGGGTTACTTTGTTCCTTGCAGGCAGAACTGCTTTTGCAGTGAAGTGGTCCTTGCAGAGCTCAAACCAGTAGCAGCCATCTATGTCCAAACTGACCCCCAACAAGCCCTTTCCCGTGACTTGGCCCCAATCCGGGGTTACTTTGTTCCTTACTTGTCGGGCAAGGCCAAGGAAAGGCAGAATTGCTTTTGCAATGAAGTGGTCCTTGCAGAGCTCCAAACCAGTAGCAGCCATCCATGTCTAAAGTAACTTCGAACAAGCCCTTTCCCGTGACTTGGCCTCAATCCGGGGTTTTCATTACTTGTCAGGCCAAAGAAAGGCAGAACTGCTTTTGCAATGAAGTGGTCCTTGCAGAGCTCCACACCAGTAGCAGCCACCAATGTCTAGAGTAACCCCGAACAAGCCCTTTCTCGTGGCTTGGCCTCAATCCGGGGTTACTTTGTTCCTTACTTGTCAAGCAAGTCTGAGTCAAGGCAGAACTGCTTTTGCAGTAAAGTTGCCCTTGCAGAGCTCCAAACCAGTAGCAGCAATCCGCAACCACTTTTTGGAAAAGTAGCCCCGAGCGGTTACTCTGAACGGGTGTTGACTGGGCATATTGCTTTTGAGCAGAAGAGGGTTCGGTTGCATTGATTTTGAATAGCCTTGCCTGGGGCGTGGAATGGCAAGAAGCCGCGCGGACTACGGATTAGGGGGTTTACCCGTTGAAGCGCGGATTAAGCGGATTACGGATTGTGATTAGGCCCCCCGGGATTTCGAACAGGCTGGGTTATTGTTGTTCCGATACATTTCTTTTTGAAGCCATGAAGGCCATTGACAAATCCAATTCAGCAATCCCCGTTGCTTCCAACGCTTCAGCGCTAATTTTTGTTCATCAGTTCAGTTCAATCCATTCCAACTCTTCAGCTGGATCCACATGCCCCGGTTTCGCTGAGGTTTGCCAGGTCCGTTGGAGCGGGCCACACCAGGGCTTCCAGGCGCACGTGGACCGATACCGAAACAGCCAAGTGATGCACAAGAGCGTGCCGGATGAGCCGCTGAGATGGCACCGAGCCCGCCCTGACACCAAATAGCCCCGGATATTTGGACGAAAGACCCATGTCTTTGACAATTGCCACGAAGTATCAAGAGAAGACGCATAGCACACGTTTTCAGTACGGCGTTTCAACCCAAGTGCAAATTGTTTGTCCAGTTCCAAGAAAACAAGGTACCGGCCGGTGATTTTTGCCAACGGCGTCCGCCAGCGATTTCCGCCGCCGACCAAGTTCATCAAACCACCTCAGGCTTGGAATCGTGTGTTGGCCACAGTTGAATCGTGTGTTTTTTTGCTGTTGGCATTGTGGAGCATCTGAAGTCAGTGGCTCCCTTCCTTTGACTTCAAGGATTTTTTGGGTACAGTTCTGTGCTCTGCCAGACTCTGCCCGCCGCCTCAACATGCAGCCACACTTGTGACACCAAATGGCAGCTGCAGTTGCTTGGGAATCAATGCTCCAAATGCTATTCAAAACATAGCACGCGCGCATCTGCCAAAGCTTGCCGCAGGATCGTGCGCCCACAGCGCAACTAGACAAGCAAGGACCAGCGAGATCCGAGCTCTCTTTGCCTCCAAGTTTCTCAGCTGGGGATTGGTTGAAGCATTGCCATAGCAAGCTCCTTGCAACTGGCGCGACAGATTGACGCATGCAGGAGCCAAGATATATACTGCCTGAGCACAGACTTGCAACGCTGGAGAGGAGGAGGAGAGTGTACAGCATAGATACAATTTTGGGTGTTCTCTGAATCGAATCGCCCGTTGTAGACGCACAAGGGATCAGACAACCCAGACATCTCTTGAAGGGGAAGGCCGCCAAAGCCTGTTTCGAGAACGCTTGCCCACAGGGCTCCCGTCCGCCTCGCATCTGATCGGCCGGACACAGTGCAGCGGGCCGCAAGGCCACAATGTAGCGGGCCGCAGTTGTAAAGTGATGCTGAAGGGTGTAAAGGGCCTGGCGCATCTGCGGCCTGCGAGACGCGAAAGCACATGCCATCGTGAGCAAAAATGTGACAGCTTGCCACGTCGGACTGTGTGTAGCTTTTGAGCAACGAACTCGATGACTTGGGTTTAGTCACACCTGAGGCCACGTGCAGGTGCGAGAAACGGTTTGTGTTCCGGTTTCGTTTGAATTCGGCTCGTGCAGGCTCTCCCAGCGCTTCACCGCCCGAGGATGGATTGAGTGCTTTGGGGTTCTGGGGCTCCACAAATGCTTCATGAGCAACCTTGCGAGCCGTGCACAAGTGTGACACGAAGCGCTGTGCGCAATGGTTCAAATGCAGTAAGTTTGCTACGGGGAGCCCTGCAACACCCTAAGTGATTTTGGACTGATTTAAGTTTTACATGTCACAAATCAGTCCAAAACTTAAACTACGAGAGCTGAAGTGCGGCCCATGGGCCTTCAGGAATCTTGGGCCTTCTGGTGTTCCCTGGGAGCAGAGCTGCTCTGTGTCTGAACGTGAGTTCGAGCCGGATCGCAAAGGTTGGCAGCTGCGGTCGGGGATGCCCATTCCTTTTTGGTATAGCCCCCAAGATGCGTCGCTTCGCACAGGCAATTAAACCACGAGCTTCGCACGTATCTGCTCATGGATGCATCTCTTTCTCACTGCCTTGGGCCTGCGAGATGCTTGGATGTAAGCTTGCCCGATTTATTTGGGGGTGCGACAGCAAATGAGAGCCTGCTGCTCCAAGTTCAGGCAGAGGGTGCCTGAGCAAGGTTATTTTGCAATCGACCAACAGCAGATTGCCAGTGTATAAGCAGCAGGCGAGCCTAAAACTGGACATGAGCGACTTGCGAGAACCGCTGCACAATTTGGGGAAGACCGCTTCTCAGCACCAATGAAAGGAGGTGGATCCGAAGCTGATTGAGATTCGGCTTTTGGAGCAAGGACCAATGAGCGGACAAGAGTTCATAAACGGCCCTGGAGACCAGGGCATCGTAAAATGACATGTCAAAATGTTTCGTATTCTAGTTGTTGTACGAACCCACGGCTCCCCGATGTTAGCCAGGCTGCGCTCCTGCGCTGGCCGCGGCTGCTGCCTGCTGCCTGTTGGCCAGGTGGGCTTCTAGGAAAGGGACAAAAGGAAGCCTGGCGCCTTTGGGGTTCCATGAGCAAAACTCATGGAGATCGAGAGGGGTCTGACCGTGCTTGGCTCAAGCTACACTGGCGAACCTGGGCCAGATCCAACTCCCACAGGACCGCCACACTTTAAGCAGACATGGAGTTGGTTGAAATGCTGGCGCCGGCTGCCGTGGCTGAGGCTGGTGCCCAGTTGGATCTGATGTCTTGCCATAGGTGCGAAGGAGACATGCAGAAAACATATGTGACACCAACACTATGAAGACTTTCCTTCGTCATGCCCTTCTCAGGCGAGGGCCTTTGTCAACCCTTGCGTGCGGCAGACTGCTGCTAGAGCGCCGGTTCGCACTCAGCAGCGCTTGCCAGGCAGCAAGTGAGGATAGCACCTCTTGTGACAGGTGAGTCAAAGCTCTGGTCAACTTGATTGAAACTTCTCAAAGGAGACGACAGATGTCTTGAGTCAATTTGGTGCAGGCAGTGCCACTCTTCAGAGTTGCGCTCTTCCCCTGGCAGCGGCAACTCTCTTCTCGGCGTCGCGGCGCCGCAAGACCAGACTCGCGGCGAGGCGTTGGGTCAAGCGACGCAGAAGAGGCGTCGCTTAAATTGACCTTTCATTTGGCAGGTCTTTCAAAGCGACTTTCAGTGGAAACCAATATCACTTTGAGAGGTCTGCGGTTTGCCAGGCAGGTGTCTCAGGCAGCTCCTGCCGGCTCCGCAGCGGCGTGGCGGGAGAGGCCGTCACGAGCGTGAGAGTGCAAGCGTTTGGTGAGAGCCCATTGCCACGCCGCAGGCATTGGTTCCCCATTGCCTCCACGCTGGAGCTGGACCCTCAGCGTCCCACCCCAGTGCGCCTGGATGGCTTGGACTTGGTGGTGTGGAAGGCGCTTGCAAGGGCGCCGGATTCCAAGTCCATGACTCACCCGGAGAGTCCTACTTGCCAGGTGCCCGGCAAAACAGAGGAGGACGGCTGGCAGGTGGCCAGGGCATGCCAGGGATTGCTGGCTCCTTCAAAGGGAGCGGGTCAAAACATAAGGACCCACCAACCATTAGTAGACCCACCATCTATGATTGTTCCGAGATTATTTTTGCTGCTACATGTTCGTGCCTGGCGCGTACAGTCAACTGATATATCTATTTTCTGAGTGGACCTGTTCGTTTGCCCGCCGCGCTTTTTAGCTGGAGATTCGCCTATCGCTCGTTGCGCGGCTTGCGGCTTAGACATGAGGAGTTTGTGATACTCGCAACGCAGAAGCTGCCACATTTCGGCGTCGTGCACCACCGTGCACAACTCTTCCGGCAGCAGCGATGGCGGGCGGGTTCCCTGACGTCAGGCCGAAGGAGGTGAGAGCGCAGGGCCATGTCGCGGAAGCGCCTGGACTCAACGTTGTAGAGCTCCGCCACCTGCGTGTTCTGCGCGCTAAGCAGGGTGGTTTGGGACCATCCCCGCAGCGCATTGAGAGCCGAGCGTGCCCGAGGCGCATGCGCAGACAAGGAGTCGTCAGGCAAAAGGCGGTTCTTGACCGTGAGCTTCACAGTTCGTTGCCAAGAAGGGGCCGAGGTACTTGCCGGGCTTGGTGTGCAACCCCAGCTTGTTGATCTTACGACCGCGCAGCCAGTCTTCAGTGGTGAGCATCCCGAGAAACAGCACTTGTCGGCGAACTGGCGGAAGAAGTTCTTCCATCAAGCTTGTGGGCCAAAGCGGTCTGTGAAGCTATGCCGCCTGGCGTTCACGAGAAACCCCCAACGGCTCACGGAGGCTTGGCCGTCCGTGCAGCGGCACGCTAGTCGCCAGGACACACGAACAGCGAAGAGCATGGTGACATGTGATCTTCTGACATTGGGAAAGGAGAGGCTTGAAAGGGAGAAGCCTGTGGGACAGCAAAGGGGAGGGACATGGTTGAGGAAGGCAAAATGTGAAAACTCTACTCAGCCGGGAGTCGAGTAGAGCCCAGACATTCGGGAGCTCAAGCGAGCGCAGAAGGGTGTTTCAAGTTGAGGGAAACACTGAGGGCCGCGATCCGGACTTGAAAGACTTTTAGGTCCTGAGCCGGCGAGGGACATTGCTTGGGCAGGCTGAAACGTGAAAACTCCACGCAATTGCAGGGGGCCCTCCAAGTTTTCACTTCAACGCCATCAGCCAGGAGTTTCACGACCCCCCCTCCAGAAGCGCAACACAGCGCTAAGACAGCCGGGTCGCATGTGGTTGAAGCCTCGCTGTCGCATGTGGTCCCAGATCGCGGTCCGGTGCGCCTTGACTGCGGCGAGCCCGCTGCCTGCGTTGGTGTCCCGGGCGGCCTTGGCAAAAGCACGGGTTGCGCAGAGAGTCAAGAGGCGCAGCGTGACGTGGCAATTGCGGCCGCAATTCTGGAGCGCCTTTTTGCACTGCAGGTGACCGGGTCGGTGGGTCTGCAGGAGGGGTGAGGATAGGCTGCGCCGCCCGTCCTGCAACCTAGGTCGGGGCAACGGGAGGAAAGGGGCAGCACAAGTGCGCAGGTCTGCAAGAAAAAGCCAAGCAACAGCAACCGGAACAGCTTTTGCAGCATGTCTTGCAAGTGCAACTCCTCGTAGTTGTAAACGGCTCCGCTTCCTCAATGGGCATGGTGTGGACCCTGAAGTACTCCCTGGGTCCTTGTAGCCGCCGTCAATGCCTGCGTCGGCGAAGAGCTGCCAGCAGCCAGAGCCACCGCTGCGGCGTGATGTAGAAAGGCATCTTGGGGCCGTCTGCGTGGATGGTGACCTAGGTCTTGAAATCGGCGTTGACCCTGAAGGAGACGTAGTCGAGAAGAAGGTGCGTGATGTTGAGGAGGTAATCGCGGTCGCCGGCCACGAAGCTGACCAAACCGGGCTGGATCAGCTCGGGGCGGGATGGCCAGGGCCAGTTGTCCGTCAAGGCTCTCGGCCGCAGGACGCTGGGGTCGTGGTTGTGGGTAGAGGGTGGTGTCCGGCCAGGCGCGCTAGAAGCGGGGCAGGATGCGGTTTGAACTCGAGCTGTGAAGCGCTGCAAGCGGCCTGCGCTTGCCGGCACTCACCTTGGCAGTCGTGGGGAGATCGATCAGGCTGTAACGCGGTCGCAGCCTGATGGAACGTCGGCGGATCGCGTAGCGATTTCAATATCGCGCCAGAACGTGAAACTCTACTCAAGTGGAGCGGGCCTTGCCATTTCAATAGCGTCAGTCAAGTGGAGTTTTGATTTTTTTGGGGGGTTGACAGTGGAAAAGCAGGCCACAAGGAAGAAGCTACTGACCAGAACGCACGAGGAGCAGGTTGAGGAGCAAGAGGAAAGACCTGCTGAGCCGGCCCCTGTCAGGCCGAGGAGCTCTAGCTCGCCGCAGAAAAGGCGCAAGTTTCACAGGGAGCTCGCTCGCCGCTCCTCGTCGCAGGAGCAGCCCCAACAGCACCAGGGGTTTCCTGTCTTGCCGGAGGTGGCCCGCGAGGCCCTTGTTCTTGGGCGGATCATCTCGGTGCATCCGCTGACTCAGAGGAGAGCGCGCTGGGGCGAGTGAAGGCTGGGCTGATCAGCCCACACGGACTTGGATTCAACCATCGCCTCCGCCGTGCAGCTGTTGCCCAGGAGATTGAGGAGCGAGGAGGACACGGGTCGGAGGCCAGTGAGGAAACTATCCGGAATCAGCCTGAACAACCCGTGCAGCTCCTGTGACGAGCGGAGCAGAGCACTGCGCTCGCTGCGCCGCAGACCGGCTGAGATTGCCCGCGACAGCAGCCACAGCCAGCGGGTACCGCAGCCAAGAAAGCCCCGGCAACGACCCTGCCAAGTACAGCCCGAGGCCTCCTCGCAACGCTCTAGATTTTTCAAGCAATTGGTTGAAACGGTGACTCTTCCTCCGACTCAAATTCACAGTCGGGCGAGTAGGCCGCAGGTGGTAGAGGTGGCTTGTCTTGCGAGCCTCGGCCTTACTGGCCGGCTGCAGCAGGACTTGAGTTCAGCTTGGGACAGGCATCGCAGGAGGCAAGTTTGACAGCGTTGGAGCAAGGCATAGGTGATTTGGCACAGGCGTTGAGGAAGGATGAACCTAGGAAGCTTCTTGTCGACACGAAAGGGAGTGGTAAGCCGGAGCACTTTCACAATGAAGAGCAGAGTTTCCGGGGATGGGTCCGAACGGTCAACAACTTGTCACCAGCATTTTCGGGAAAGAGTTTGAGACCGTGCTGGAGTGGCCTAGAGGCGGTGTGTCCTGGCTGACAAGGGAGACCAATTGTTCTGACTTCTTGGGAGTCAGAAGACATTGTCATTGGCTTCAAAATTTTAAGAAATCTGGATCCAAAACCCATGCTGGGACTTTTGAGAATTTTGTTTACCAACCTCCCTTTGCTCCCATAGGGAGGCTTTGAGGACAGGCGTTAAGTGTTTTGGTTTGCCTGTGCTTGTGTGAATGGTCGACGCCGAAATGCGCGAGCTGGTTTTGAGGATAGAGGGCGGGCGCGTTCGTGCGTTTGCGCATGGAAGGAGGCCTAAGTAGAACGAGAGCCAGTGAGCCTTTCATATCACACCTCAGATGTACATAGCTCACTGAGCCATTGCATCCGTGACACAAAGCTGCTGGCAAACCACTTTCAGGATAAATCAATCCATCAGCATTGACACGTGGAACTCTCCGGAATAGATCCGGGGCCACCACATAAAGATCCTCTACTACCACAAGGTACCGGTTCCCTTCGAGGATAAGACTGATTGGTTTAAAAGAACTTGTCCGGTGGAATTTTGACGTAGAGCCGGCGACGCCGGTGGGCGGAAGTTTCAAAAGGAATGAGTCTATAGTTCTTTCCGTCTTTCTGCTGCTCTTGCATTTGCGTTTTCTTTCAAACGGCGGGGGCGAACAAAACGATGCAGCAATGCGCTGCATCCTGCGCGGAACGCAAACCTTTGAAAGAGTCTCCCCCAAATCGAACACTCGTCTTGGCGCCAAGCGACGCGACGTCAAAGCAGTTGTTTTGGTGGGGGGTGGCACGACAGTAGGCTATATATCCTATGTGACGAACACCTGTGGCCTTCAAAGAATTAGAAAAACATTCAAAAACATTCTAATTGTTCTAATTCTCCTACTTAACTAGAACAATTGGAAAATCAAAGTAAGTACAAAAAAGGAGTGTGTGTCTTCTCATTGTTATAACTATTTCCCTTTTCAGACTCATCTTTTTCTAATTGAGCTAGTTATTTTAGTTATTCTAATTAGTCTAGCTATTCTCATTCGAAGAACTAGAAAATTCGAGTATTTCCCTTCGAAGGAAGTCCAGACTCATATCGTTCGAATTATTTTAATTATTCTAGCTATACTAATTACTCAAAATTTAATAATTGCGAAAAATGACGTTATATTTTTTGATTTTTGCAATTTTATTTTAATTGTTTGCTTTCGGATGGATATCCAGATTCACCCTAAGTATTCTCGTTAGAAGAATAATAAGGAAATTCGAGTAATTAAAAAAGAAGTGCGGCTAGATTTTTCTAATTATTCTTGTTATTCCCTTTCGAAAGAAGTCCAGACTCATAGATTGCTTATTTTTCCAATTATTCTAATTATCTGCATTTTTGGAAAGAATTCCAGTGCATTTTTGGAAAGAATTCCAGACTATTTTTCTATCTAGTCTAGTTAACTGGAATATTAACATTACACCAGCCTCGACCCCAAACAGCAAAAAGGCATGACAAGTCTGTATAACCAAAAAAAGGCATGTCTCCTTCATGTATGTGAGGTGCGAAATTGAGTAGCTTATGTGAGCAACACATAGTTGCAATCAGTCCATGTGTGTCCCTGCAGGAAGTCCCCTTTTTTGGGAAGAGGACACATCGGGTCCATCCATCTCCTTGACGCCGGGTAAAAGCATCGATGTTGTTCATCGACTTCGGGGAGAAAATTCCATGTCAATGCCATGTTCGAGAGCGAAGGCCCCGGGGATTCGGGGTGAATCAACCTACCACCTGGCGTTAATCAAAGGAAGTTTCGACGAACTTTCG